ATCCTCTCTCTCTCTCTCTTTTAGTAGATTTCTTCGGCCAGGAATTTGCAGCTGAGTGTAGAAGTTGGAAAACTGTTCATTCCATGGAGCACTCAGCAGATTTATTGTAACGCCATGTAAGGAAGACATCAAGAAAATGTCGCTTCTGAAAATGTCTCGAAGATTTAGATATTCTTTTATCATAATACCACTGATACGAAACTCAAACCTTCTTGAAAATAGCCACCAACAGATGAAATTCATCAATAAATAAAGACTTGACCAATTGATTTCAGTGGAGTTATAATGAAATCAAGGCTTGCGCATCATAAATATATCACATACATAAATGATTCTTATTTCGGAATCCCTCTAATCTCTACACGAAAGGAAAACGCTTTAATTCTTTTGGCCTTAATGCTATCTGGAATTGTTCTGTTTAGATTTACTGGTTCGCTTTAATCATTACCATAGTGAATTGAGAATTATCAATCCAACCAACAAATCGAAATGATCAGAAGTCAATGCATTGAAGTTTTCCCCTCAAATTAAACCCTAATTCTTTCAATTGGTGGATGGTGACTAGCAGTGGAATCCACCAGTATGCGCATTTCGTCCTATTTGGGACTCATTATCTGGATGTGCCTGCCTTTCTCAGTCAGTGATGATGTTCCTCCCAACGAGGCTCGAACCCAGTGCCCATAGTTTCAAATGCCAAAGCGTTATCCTATAGACTACTTGGGCCACGAGAGCCACCTCTTAAATTCTAATTACATGTCCAGACCTCGTAGAAGCATCTGCACGAGATGCCGGCATGTCAATTTGAGACCAAGCACTTCGGTCCAATCAAACGACGACGGGAAAATCTAAAATTCAATTAAACTTGATTCTTTTACTTTAACAATTTCAATGTAACCCGTTATTGATGTGTCAATTTTGTGTTATTCCTTGCGCCCTACTGGCCAACATGCGACCTTCCTTTGTTCTAAACATTTTAACTAAGCATATATACACAATTTATATATCAATTAGTCGCTAAGAATTTTAGATGGATTAACATTTTGTTTTTATCCAAAATATATGCAAAACATAAATTGAGATACAGTTGACTCGAAGGAGTAGGCTTTCCACATGAATTCGAGAGTATATTGCAGGATGCATTTACAATACAGTAAAGAAGTATGTGAGAAGATGTATTCTTCAACACCTGGTCATGATTTCAAGGTCATTTATGGAATTCGTGTTGCCTTGCAGAGTTGTCCTCATTCTGAAATTCACAAGGTAATGGAGACTTTGAGTATTCATGAATTCAAGACAGATCTTCGTGTACACAAGCAGTAAGTACGTTGCCATACCTGCATTTGTCATAGAATGAAGAAGGGGATGAAAACATTCATCAATCTTCCAGTAAATATACTGGGTGGTGGGATGACCATCACTGAATAATTTCTCAGTCTTAAAAATCGCAGCTCCTATCAGATATGACGAACGTCTCATTTCAGGCGGCTGAAATCCTCGATACCGGTTGTACGAATACCGATCTTCATGCTAGTCAATAAGAAATCTGGTAGCAGAGGGTTTGGTGGAAAACCCATAGCGGATGCATTTCTCTGTCTGTGCATCTCATTGTCAAAGAGAAAGTGAACATTCACTATGAATTTCGGTGTAGGCTGTTACAAGTATGTTGTAGACATTTGTGTATTCCCCTCATCCAAGTCTACGTAACCACAAATAAAGTACACTTTTTCACTTAATGCACCTCCAGTAAATAACCAGCATACATCAAGCTACCACACAGTTCTCCTTGATAACTTTCATTTCAACAATGTAATTGATGCAATCCAAGGCAAAGTGAATACAGAGAATATCCATACACATACATTTGCCTTGTCAATGGTTCCAGGGGCTCCACTATTCACTTCATCACATAATGATGAGATGAGCCTGGCACACACAAAATTCACAATCTGAAAATTAGTTAGCAGTTTGCAATGTACACAATTCTAGTCGTGACATTCTACTGGAGTTTCCTCTGGAAACCAAGTGATTCACATGATACTATATGATCTGCTTGACACCATAAGTGGTAATCAAGCAGGTGAGCATATTTCCATATGAGGACACATTGTTGATTGACTGAGGTGAGTAGTTATATGTCACTCATATGAAGCAGCAACGCTAACTAGGCGAATATGATTAGTGTTAACACTGGGGGTGGGTAGAGACCGGTGTTGCACACATGCGCCCAAGCACATAAGCGGTGTATCCGGTTTATCTCAGCTGAGAGAACCAAATCACTTCCACCCACTAAACTGAGTCAATCCGAGTACAACTATGATGAGCTAAGATCTGAATGGGCGTAACGGCATTCTGGTGTTTAGATAATGTCGATTTGACTAGAAAGCACCACTGGTTGATATTAATGGAATACAACTACTCATAACAATCAATGATTAGTTTGTAGCTTAATGAAAATGGGATGTCTTAAACAGTATGTAATGACAATCCCAATTCGTAGATTTTCGTCCGCTTTATTTTATCTACGTACTTCTTCTTCACCATTATTATTATTATCAATCAACGAGAAAATCTAAAATTCAATAAAATAATTTATATGACCAATTGCACAAGAGGTGGCTGTCGTGGTTGAATTGGTCCAGTGGATTACGCTCTGGCGTTTGAAATTATGGAGACTGGATAGGAGCCTCGGTGGGAACATTATCACTCACTGAGGGAAAGAAGGTACATCCAGTGACGAGACCCAAATAGAACGTAATGCGCATACTGGTGGATTCCAGTGCTAGTCACCATCCAAAAAATTACATATTATTATTCTTGCTAATATTTCCATAGATTTTGTTAATAATTCCGCATATCTCATTTATCATTTTAGGTCAGTATTATTCTAGGCAGTGTCACAATCTGTCGGACTTATCAAATTCTTGGAGGGTTACCAAGTGATTTTTGTGTGCATACTAATCCTCCTATTATTACAAATTCGCCATCCATTTCGAAGAACTAGTCATTTCATGAACTATTTCGTGTATATATTACATTACATATTTTACTTTTTCATGTGGAACTATGATTGTTGTCAAAGTCATTTAATAGCATTAGATATTATCAATAGGAGCACTCACACCTCTCATCTACACTTCGTCACGAGGACTAGATACTGAAATATCATGCATATACGGTATTACACCTAGACAATAAAAGTCTTGGAAACGGACTCTCCACTGAACAGTTGGTTTCTTAAACAACAAAATCAATTATTAAGTAATTGGTTGCAAGATTTCATCATGAGCTGACATTGGTTGGAGAACCACTGGAATACCTGGGAGTAGTTGACAGCTGTTTCATCTGTTCACGTTTTGGAATCTTTATAGAACGCAAGCTCGTAGAACATTAAACCACTGGAAGCCTACAAAACAAAATTTGAATATCAAATTATTGTTTCTCATTTCACTTTCATCTGTGAAGGTCAATAAACGCTAGCGAATTTCTTCGATTCTAACTGACCACAGTGAATGTGTATGTGTGTGAGCGTGTGTCTAACTGAACTCATCAGCTGATTTCATACCGATGGGTTCCTGAATAAAATATGGCTTCACTTACTTCGATATCAGAGACTGACGAGTAACAATAAAACTCACAATATTAGTGGGATTCGTAGACATAAACCACACAAATCTGTCCCAATCGCCTAATTGAATCACTAAACTGCAGTGTTGAATGTCCTATTTCCTCTTCACTATTTGATTCTGGGAGAGAGATTTCAAATTTGGAATTCATCAGAAAATTTCAGTCGATAAACTGTTGGCAGTCATTCCTACATTACAACGGGGATGGCTAAAATTCTGTTCAGTGTCTTGTCGGAGAGACGATACCACCACAGAATTTATATTGCACACGAGGATGAGGATGTCTATGATAACTTCCATCCACTTGTGCTTCGAGGGAACACAGAAATACTGTAGCACTCTGTACTCTGGAGTCTAAGCAAGTCATTTCCATGCATTTCTCTCTGACTGCCCTCGCCTTCTCACATGATCTTCTCAATGTCACCATCACACTCACGCTAAGCTAGTCGATTTCCATCCGGGTTCTACTCAACGACTAGATTGGTCCGAGATATCAGTCAACAGTCTCCTCAAAATCTGTGTCATCCATCTGTGTCTCCTCCATTATATTTCTTGGCAGATAACCTCGTGATTGGTTCGCTGACCGGTTTACTTATTATTCATCACTTCTGGCCACCTATCTGGTCTTCAGAACATGGCGAAACAAGTTGTTGACTGTATTCTGCAAATCGACTTGGAATGTTTCTGGTGCCACGCCAAGTCTATCGACCATACAGACGCACTGACTGACTCACTTGACATTTCTGTTGACAATATGAATCATGATTGGAATGATGAGTGCAGCAGATGTCCACATCGATTTTCGATTAGTGAAGGTCCGTCCGTCTCAGCGATATCTACAAGCTTATTGTTAGAAGTGAGTGTCAGGAGTTTCTTTACATTGGTGGCTTTTACAATCTGATTTGTGCCTATTGACGGATTTCGCTGGTCAGAGTTTTCACTTCAATTCAATTTGACATTCATTGAATTAGATTTTAATTAGCATTTCGTGATTAGTCTTGTGTTAACTGACATTTGAATAGCCAGACGATGAATATTATTATTATTGTCACTGCCATAGTGTCACAATCCTGTCGACATGTTCGATCTATCAACTGCAGTCAACAACGGTTTAGAAGTCGATAACATTGTTTGCTCTGTGATTTACACGGTGTGACCATCAATAGTCAATTGAAATGTGGCTTAAAATAAGTGCTGAACAAGACAGACATTACTTTGACAGCTATTCACAGACAGCGATTGTCTGTGTGTTGATTAGAAGATCACTCACTCAGATTGACTTGAAGGCTTATAAATACTCACGCGTTGTCAGTCAGTTAGTTAATCAGTCGGTAACCAGTCAGTAGTTGTTCTACCGAGTAGTTAATTTCACCAATAATGTTCATGGCTAAGATGGTAAGTGGAAATGTTCATCGTCAATGAAGTAATGAATCTTTTCCCTTTTTTGAAAAATCTAGATACTTTCCGTTTGTATATGTGTATGCATTGCTGCTGTCCACGCTAATGATGTGGAGACGCCAGGTAAATCTGAGTGATATGTTCTTGCTTGTTTTTGCTTATTGTTATCGTAACTTTACTGCAGTTGTATGCTTTCATTCGTGTCGATTCTACTTGAATTTAGTGGGACGTGGGAACGGATGAATTAGAGAGACATTTTTGCTGTATGCTAGGATCGGACTTGGACGACGAGTGTTGTGGATTGACAGCATTGGACTAATAAACCACTGACAAAATAGGTAGAATATCCTGAACCGATGCTGTTGATTGTTTTCCCTTGTCAGACAATTTAATCTGTGACATTTAATGATTTGTTGTACCCTCTGGGATTCGAAGCCACATCGCACACTGTTGTTATTCACAGTGGAGGATATTTGTTTCATCATATTAATCTTCGTGAATTCGTGATGGAATGGACATAATCTGAGGCGACGTTTAAGTGCGGCCACACACCACGTTCACAATGGGAATTGATTGCTTGCATGATTCTAACATGGAATTGATCATATAGGGGGAGATGAGAGATTGCTAGCACTCTTGAAGCCAGAAGAAAGTAATGTGTGACATTTCGGGTGTGCTTCTTAAGGCCTACGTCTCGGTTGGAACGCAAGCAATCAATAATCAAGCAATAAGGTCTATTTTTCGAAACTGGTTTTTGCTTATTTCTATTTACACAGTGAAAATAAAGTGTGACGGAATAGCTTTTCATCAAATGTATTCCTAACTGATCCAGTTTCAAGATTTAAACTGGTTTGACCATTATTATTTGTCTTTGTCAGTGTTTAATGTCTAATTCCATTGTTTCAATTTGTGGTTGTTCGATAAATTGATAATGTGTTGTTTTCAGATGTGATTCAGTTTGAGTGGATGAAGGGGATTCTCAGATTCGAATGTCTGTCGGAATTCTCAGTGTTTGAGTCGTGTGGATAGAGATTAGATCCGATCTTGTTGAGGATATTCTACTTCACCCTAAGTACTTCTTTTGCACTATAAATTTGTCTAAACTGAATGGCTGCCTAACAGAACCCACTGTTGACAACCATAGATCTGTAGAAGAATAACAGTGATTTTGATGTGTTTGGAGCGATCAGTCATTGTGCGACTCTGACGGACATTTCGGTCAGTTGTATATTGGACACCAGAGATCGGTTTACCACGTTCAGACAATCGCGAGTCAATTTTCGTCGTTGACTAATGTAGGGTAGTGTAGATTTGATATCGTAACAACTAATGCCACACTTTTCCACAAAGAATAATCTTAAAAACCGACATAACTTTTTCGAAATGCACTCTTAATCAGGTCACCATGTAGACAATTGTTTCCTGTGAATAAGGACTGCTTTCCAGATATCACAAATATCGGAAGTCTACCTGATTCTTTTATTTCATCAGGAATGCATACAAATAATTCAATGAATGAATGTTTCCAAAGCCTATGTTTGATTCATGAAAAATTTATTCTGTGTCTCATTAAACGAATTTATCTTTCTTTTCGATTAACTTACTTTCAGGGAATCTGAACGCCAACATAGATGTCGGCTCAGATACAGCACCAGATGGTGCTATACAAGATGTCAAGCCTGCACCACAACAAGGAGCATCCCTGGCAGATGTAGTTCAAAACCCACTACTCGGTGAACAAGAAGAATCCAAATAACCACATACACCTCCATTGTGGTGCAAATAGTTCTTTTTCAATTTCAACTATTGACAGTTTCTAAAATATATAACCACATGTTGACAGACACACACAATAACCTCTACACTTATTATTACTATTATTATTATTATTATGATCGTTGTACAGCGAAACCGTTTAATTACGACGGGCTGGTATATAATAATGTAGTGGAAAAAGTGATGGCAGATGTAATAAGAATATTCAAGATTATGTTGTGTAACAGTTTGTCTAACTTTTATTTTCCGACAGACTGATGTACGACATCCGCGTTTTGACGAAGTCTCCATTTCAGTTATGTTCTTGATCACTAGGCACAAAGCTGTGATAACTGAAATGAAATAACGAAGTGCTCGTCCTGTTGATTTTCATCTCCGATTAACGGTTGATTAAGGCATTTAGGAAAGAACAACAGAATGAGTGAAGTAATACACTGCTCTTCTATTAGTTTCACATCTTCGGCTCCACACGAATATATAGATATTAAATCGAAATGTTCACCAATCAAGTGTTTGCCTTGGTTATTGAGGTTTCAGGCAGAGAAAGGGTTGAGTGAAGAGGGTACAGGTCACCAAATCAATTAACTAATGGATGTTAGTAAAAAGATATCTAAGTTTTTGAAAAAGGGTGAAAATTAATCACGGAATTCAAGATAAGTTGATTCTCAGGCGTTACGTAGTCAAGAATTTTGTAAGATAATGATGACTAAGAAGAATAGGATGAGTCAGAAGAATTATGTTGAATGGAAACAAGTTGATAGAGCTAGCTAGAACTGCAAAAGTTTACAAAATCATAAGACAGTTAGAAGGGGACCGGAAAAGTTTTCTTTAAATACTCAATAAATTTTAAGCAGTTGGTCATGGCAAAGTAAGTGGCTGTACAAATTTCTTTTGAATGCACACGTAGATTTGGCTTGTTCAGATGAATTTCGATTGACTCTGCTGTATGCAAGATTCGTACTCGTGGACCATGCGAGATGTTGGGTGATATACGATAAATAATTTCAAAAGCTTTGTTAGATTCGACTTGATATCCGGTATCGATGAGGTGAGGTAGCATTGAGCAGCGGATAGCTGTATTCGCACCTTCGCCACACCAACATGGGAGGTGTTGAGAAATTCGACAATGAACTGGCATGATCGTACGCCCTATCTAACTAGCTCCACATGGTCAGCTAAACAGGTCAATACACGTGGAATTGGCGAAACAGGACAGTCTGTCTTTATTTCTTGAATTAAATATTGGTCGGCTAGTGAATATGCAGCATAGCTTAGCTGCGTTGAAAGTCTCTTGGCAAGTCCTTCGCAGATTTTGTTCTAAAATCTTAATATAAGCGACGTTTTGAGCTAGAATCATCGATAACTGTTCCAAAAGGCAATCTGTTTGTTTGAATCTCTTGTAAGTCGTATAACTTAGGGGTCACCGTCCTGACAGATTTTAGTGTTTTATTCATATCAGGTGAAATATGGCCCTGTTGTTTCAACTTTTTGAAGATTCTGTTGACTGTCTCTCAGTTTTCTCCGTTGTATCTTTGTTAGTTGTTAGTTTCTGAAATTTGTATTCGCCACATATTAAAGTCTTCACTTTGCAAAGCTAACTAGACTAGTCGATGAAATCGACTCCCAAACATTCCTCATGACTGGAGATCACTACTTTCTCATTTACTTTCATTTTCGTTAATTCCCCTCGATGTCTTTTGTTTAAAATTCTCTTTGTATTGATAACAACGACCAATCAAATTTGCCTTAAGTCTGTTAACCTCGTCATCTAACGAAGAAATCAAGTTTGCGAAAACGCAAGTCTAAATGCAAGAACACTTAAGCGTCACTCTCTCAACCACATTATCTCTTTGAATTCGTGTATTACTGAGTTGACAATGAATATTACTGAGGGACTATAAGCTGTAGGAGGATTTCCAGAAGACTTGAAGTAGCCATCTTTGCAGTATGTTAACCATGTTGTTAACAGAAGAAAGTAAAATGAAGGAATCCAGCTTATTCAAAGCCTTGGAAATCAGACGCCGGAAGCACGTTTCCCGCCCACTTGAGAACGGTATACACACAATCTTTTAGGTGTATTTGGTGTTCATTTGACGGATTTAAAAGTCTTGTCTCTCGGACTTAAGTTTTGTGATATAAATATAAAATTTCAGAAACCAACAAATCACAAAGAATGTATAGAAACTGCACATTAACCCAAAATATATTGGAGGTCGTTAAGACGAATAAGAGACTTGAAATAGTCATGGCCTTAATCAGATTGATTCTGTTAAAACTATTATAAATGATCTAGAAAGGAACATATCACGAAGAAAATTTCCAGTTGATGATTTACCTCAGGACGAACAATCGATGTTCACGGAATATGTTAATAAGGTAACAGTAAACAAAGGGAATAATAAAAGGTCCAGTCTTGTCAAATCTCTCGGAGGCGGAAAGCTTGAAAGGAAAATTCCGTCAGTTACGGGTCGGTATGTTCCTAATTTTCCCAGTGTTGCACTTAACAAGTTTCAACTGGATTTGTTATACCTATGTCCAAAATTTACTGGTTCTGATCCGAAATTTAACCAATTAGACACTGATATACAGTTTGAAAATGTGTATTCTCAAACGTCAGACCTTGCCCCATCATCGGACGATGAAGTAACTTGTTTCAAAACGAAGCTAGTTTACAGCCGCCAACATTACAAAAACAATAGACATTCAGTAAATAATCTGTTATCTAAGCAATACAGAGAAGCTCTACGAGAACTTAGAAGTAACGAAAGCTCAATTATTAGCAAGCCAGACATAGTTGATGGTATAGTTTCACTGCACATGGCGATCATGATGAAAAATGGAAGGTATCTCGAGTTATCAAACTAAATTCCAATCTCTTGGTGTTTCCAAAGACCTCAATGTAAGAGAGGAGGAACTAATGACCGACTCTCTCAAAAGGGTGAACCAAATAGGAGTATTATAATCAATCACGTATGAGTCTATGAAACAAACGAGTACCAATACTCCCCGACTTTACGGTCTACCCAAAGTGTGTAAACCGGGTCTTGCTCTTCGCCACGTTTTAGATATGTATAACTCTCCATTTCACTGAACAGCGAAGAAGTTCTAGTGTGGTGAGAGCAGGCCGTGAGAAAATATGAGCAAGGCTGATTCAACAACCAATCACAGCAAAGTTATCGTGGCAAAATATGATTCGCAGATAGAGAAATCTATTTGTCGAGGAATCCCGAAACAACCAATCAGAAGCCTGCGTTTATCTGCCTAACTTCTGATAAACAACCAATCAGATGACTGCGCTTGTCTGCTTGCATAAGCTATAATAATATATGTGAAATGTGTATAAATACGTGTTGATTTGCATAATAAAACGATCTGTTGCCTGGCCCTTGTCTTCTGTTGTTACACTAGGACCTGTCCACAGAGAAATCGTGCAACATAGAATTAGTGATGACTTCGACCTTAATTCAAAAATATCCGAGAGTAATGTGAGGTATAAACGCATGTTATCCATAGATGTATCATCATTATTCACTCATGTAACGCTTATGGAAAGAGTAGATTATATTTGTCAAGAGATCACTGAAAGTCAATTGGACTTAGGAATCCACTTTTGTAGCCTCAAAGAACTGCTTGTCGAATTCAAAATGAATGTTCACGTTGTCTTCAACAATTCTTACTACTGAGAGGAAGATGGATTAGCTATGCGTTCACCATCAGATCCAACATTAGCTGACTTCTTTCTCGGAAAACTTGAAAACCGGAAATCGTAAGACATCATCGAGGAGTTTGATATGCATTACCGATGTGTCGATGATACATTTATCTTAGTTGATGGGAGTGTTAACATAGACGAGTTGTTGCTGAAGTTCAACAACGTATACCCTTCCCTTACTTCCACTTGTGAAGAGGAGCAGGAGAATAAACTACATCTCCTGGATGTCTTGCTAAGTAGGCGAGAAGATGGGTCACTTGTGAGAAGTGTGTATAGAAAAATCACATTCACAGGGCAATACACACACATCCTAAATACGTGCCCATTAAATGTAAAAGAAATGTTGTTAAATGTCTTACGAGCAGAGCAAGAAAAATGTGTACAGATGACCACTTACAAAAAATATTTGAATCAATTCACGATTCCTTGACGGAGATGGGCTATCCGAGTAGTTTCATAGAGAAACACATGAAAATATCAGAGAGTAAACCAAAGACTCTGACTGCAAATAAGAAACCCCTATTTATTAAGTTACATCTTAACGTTGATTTAATAAGTTAGATTTTATTCCAGGGACTTTCCATGAGTATACGAAGCACATTTTACGCAGCATACTCATGTCTGTCATTCTTCAGCTGACGAAAAGTTGGGACGCAAACGAAGGATAACCTAGATAGTTTTGCCATATCTGTGTGCATTTATCAATAATTTCTCTGCACCTACGGTGACTGTAATGCTGGGCGTACTACTAGGAAGCTTGGCCAATGTGTTAGTGAACGCCCCTCCGCATCGTGGTTAGGCAAAGTACATAAAAAAACAACCCGTGGCTCAATTTCGCCAGTTTAATTGATAGCGGTCATGTAGTCGAGAAAACAAGAGCCTTCAATGTAATTCATCGTATCCCACCAAATATTCTCAGTAGAATTCGCCTTCGATCACTGCAAGCACACAGCTGAGGCGACAGACATTCGAACTATTAACAGTAGACTATGCCTTCGAAAGACGTTCGTGCAGCCATTAACCCTCCCTTTGCCTATTGAGACAAAACCAACTGATGACTTCTACACTACCCCTTGTTTATATTTTCAACCCCTTCTTATCATCCCTTAATCTTATCACATCTTCATTAAAACCGTGTTTCGTTTACTTCCCTTACACTCAGTCTAGCATTACTTAATCGGTTCATTTGTTTCTACTAGCCTTTATCGACTACTATGTCTAACTGAACATTTGTTTGTTTAATCATGCTGTCTTTCATTATTCGTGTT